TTTTTGCATGTTACTCAGGATAATGTCCTTGATAACATATGTGAAGCTCACATTGATCGGAAGGTGTTATTGTCAATATTTACCGAATATAAATACAGAAGAGATACGCTACAAACATACTCACTTTGAGGAAAATAGAGAAAGGAAAGTAGCAACTAAGTAATTGTCAGTCGTACGCAAGAAGACGCAAAACATCCCGCTTCGAAGACAACCGACAGACAGTGTTCACAGTTTTGGCTTCCTTACAGCTTGCTAAAACGGTGGAAGGAATGCGCACAACACACAGCAGCGAGTTTATGCAATTAGAATTCGCTACTGTGGCGCATCCTCTGTACCGCTTTAGTATGCTGTAGTAAGGAAGCCAAAACTGTGAACACTGTCGACAGACTGAGTAGCCTCCCCCTCACATAGTACATGTAACCGTCTCCCTACCACACGCTTGAAAACGAACAGAGAATGACTATGTCGTCTTGTAAATTTCCAAAAATAAAAAACACGGTTTCAGAGTGTCCGATATGACGTTAATTGAATTGCTTTATACTTTAGTGTGTATCGTCTCGGAGACAGACCTCTTGAAAAATAAAGATTCTATGTCAAAAATTTTTGTATTTTGCCAATTGAAATTGTGATCCGTATCAATTCTATGCTGTGTAACGACAGAAACATTCTCCGCGCAACGATTAATCTGTTTTTTATGTGTGGAAATCTTAATTTTGAGTTGTTTCATGATCTCTCCTACGAAGTATCGCAATCATTACATTGCAACTTATAAACCACGTATTGTTTGTTCAATTTTTACCGAATCTTTGATATTTGTAATATTTATTTATTGCATATTAAACTAACAAATTTAATAAATAATAAGTATATAGAGAATTATCCTCTGGCTCTTTAAAAAATTTAATAAATTTATTACATATTAAGTTAACAAATTTCTATCTTCCTTTTTCAACGATTTTGAAATTGTGTGATAATTAATAATGATAATTTATTGATAAATGGTATAACGAAATAATTTTTGACGGTTTTTGAAGTTCATTTTGTCTCCGAATTGTTCGATTTTCCGTTAAGTTTGTTCGCAATTAGATATTTTACACGGTCATTGATGACTTTAAAAATTATTTCTAACGGATAGTTGTTGGAGATGAGGACGTTGATTATAAATTTTGATCAATCCTTATATTCAATCTTGATACATTGTAATGGTCGTCTAACACATATTGTTACCGTTCAACATAGAAGTGCATATAAAGTCTTGCGATTGAAGAAGTCTGAATAAACAGTCAAAACGTTTCAGTTTTCATCATTACATATTATTTCACTGCACAACACCCTGCAAAATTAATTCATATTTGCCGACTCTTTACACAAGTTTGTTTTTTATTAATTGAACCAGAGGACAACCCTCATCATTTGATATTGTTTTATAAATTTTGTTCTTTGTTTGAAACGCAAGGTTAGGGAACTACAACAGAGCTCTGTTTACCATTCTGATAATGGTTCCTATTTTTTGAGAGATTGGGTGTGAGGAGTGGTAATTTAAATACCTGCCCGAAAACGTGGTACCAATTGCACATGATTGTCCCGTTAGCAAACAATCAATTTGACATCTAAAAAGCTCAAAGATTTTTTATCCTGTGTCTCAATCATGAACCTCAATTTGTCATTTATATCCGTTAAAAATATCCATTAGATAATTTAAATTGTTGACGGACGCGGTTAAAATAATAGTTTGTTTTAAAAAAATTAAAATTTGGCTTCCTCTTGTATTACCGATATGTAGATGAGATTATTTTTTAATCGCGTCCGCCAACAATTTGAATTATCTATTGGATATTTTTAACGGATATAATGACAGATTGAGGTTCACGATTGAGACGCAGGATGGAAATTCTTTAAGCTTTGTAGACGTCAAATTGATTGTGTCTAATTACGGGACAATCATGTGCGATTGATACCATAAGCTCACGTTTTCGGGCAGGTATCTAAATTACCACTCCTCACACCCAGTCTCTAAAAAAATAGAAACCATTATCGGAATGGTAAACAGAGCTTTATTGTTGTCTCACTCTGTATTTCAAACAAAGAACAAAATTTATAATAAACGTTCTCATTTTCAACAACTATTCGTTAGAAATAATTTTTAAAGTCATCAATAACCGTGTAAAATATCTGATTGCGAACCAAAGTAGTGGAAAATCGGACAGTTCAAACTCCACACCAACTTCAAAAACCGTCAAAAATTATTTTGTTGTATCTTTTATCAATAAATTAACGTACACAATTTCGAAATTGTTGAAAAGAAGAAATAGAAATTTGTTAGCTTATAAAAGTAAATCAATAAATTGAATCAATTTTGTTGGAAATATATATATACTCGCTTTTTGGTGTAAACTGTTTTTATTCAAGATAACGATTTTTGTGTACAATAGTTGCATATGACAGTAGTAGTTACACAAGAAGATATCGAACGAAAGTAGAAAAAAGCGGGCAGACCCCGCTATTGCTATCAAAAAAAGGGGGGCAAAGCGTTGCGCCAGGCGCTCAGCGTGAACCAGTAGCGTAGGAACTGTCTCGTAGATACAGAGAAGTATGAACAGCGTTTTAACCAGCGCGTGATTCCTCAACATACCGCCCCTTTGAAAAGGTTAAGCCCTTTTAACTAGCTTAACATGTTTTGAGACTTGACTAATCACAGCACTAGAGCCTGAAACATAAAGATAATTAGATTTGTGCAAAGTAAACAATTAAACATAATTGAACAACAAAAAAAGAAACATATTGATTAAACATTTTTAAGTTTTCTTGACCTAACTGCATAAATTGTCTCTCTGCAACAACGGAGAGCTTAGTCAGCCTCTCGTAACGGCAACACACAAAGCTTTGTAATCGGTCTTTTATACACTTCTTTACTGGTTTTGATGGACGCTACACGAGCTACTTCATCAGATTCAGAATTGATACTCTCAATGCAGCCAATAAGCCATCTTGACGATGATGCATTATCGTTGCTGATGAGAACTATATCGCTGGTTTAACTTAAGCTCCTTTGAATATTGCCACTTAGTTTTTTGCTGCAACTGATGCAAATATTCTCGACTCCAGCGCTTCCAGAAATGTTGATGTATTTAACTGACACGTTGGCAACGTGATCGATTAGTTGACAAGTGCATAACGTCCTGTTGTGGTATAGAAGTGATTGTGTCTCTAACCAAGAAATGACCAAAAGTTAAGAGGGTACTGGCAGTAATGTAAGATCTTGCAGGCTAGCACCAAGAGCACCGAGATGGTAGGAGCCACTGGGAGCACGCATACAAGCGAGAACCGCCGTCTGTGTGCGTGACGTCACGCTCGGCTGTTCGGCTCGTGAAAGAGCGCAGACATACTATGTTCTGCCTCGCTTCCACCAAGCCCACTACTCGAGCAAGACACTGAGGCTAGAAAGCAATGTTTTGTTACGCGCTTGTAGCCTATGACAATATGACAACGAAAAATGCTTTTCCATGACTTACAATCTTAGAAAAAGTAGATAATATTATTGATAAGGATGAGTTAAACATCTCATGCATCATGATCTCAAGATCATGTATCGTATTATATGCGTCGCGCTGTATGACTGATCATTTATATCGCGCTTTAATCGTAATAAGCAATACAAAAATTAAAAAATGAAAATAGTTACGTCGTCATGTATTAGATAAAGTTCTAATCACAGAGCAAAAAGCAAAGTTTAAAAGCGTTGCTAAGACATCTCTTTCAATGATGCGTTATATTTTACTTATTCTATAATGAGTTGTAAATGTTCCGTCGCCAGTTGCGCAACGCCCAAGTTCAACTGAAAATAGCACTGTTCCTCTAGTTGTCATCTGTTGCTATAACTCATTGTAGAATGACTTATAATTATAATCATCGTTCGCAGCGCGTCATATTCAAGTTAGCTATCGTATATTACGCTTGGAAGTTTGGTTTATTATATAGTGACTGTGGAGAAATAATATGTAAAAAGATAATAGTGAGTACGAAATAGTGAGTGAATTCTGACTATTGATTTGATTATATTCAAGATATTTGACTTAGTAATGTTAATTTTTTTGTGTTTATTAATTTATGAATTATTACTATTATGTTGCAGCTTTGTAATTTGAAAGATATATATATTTGTATATTTGTCAAGCGATTTTGAAACATAAGAAAATCATATATGGTTGAATTCAGCGTAAAAAATGCTATAATTTTTTCTTACAAAAATTTTAAAAGTTGAAAAAGAAAAAATGACAGGTGGGGGTAAATAAAAAAATGTTGAATGAAAAATAAATCTAACTACGCGGTTGTTAAGCCTATAAAATACTATGCAACTTTTATTTGAAACATTTTTTTATATCTCTTACCGGTTTGATGGGTCTCGCATAAAACAAAAAACCGATTTTTTTTTCAAAGGGATGTATCACTTCCCAAACGTGCAAGAAAGCACATAAGAAAAAATACGGGTCTCTTATTTTTAGCTACTTTACAACATATTCAAAGCTCATCAAAATCGGAGAGGGACACTTGCGTCACTTCCCTTGTGAGTCGAGTTCTTGAGGATGAGAATGCTAAAAAGTTTTTTGTTGTTCCGTATGTTCGGTTGGTTGCGAGGGGTATGACTAATTTTGTGAAGTCTAGAGCCGACATGAGGCTTGCCTATGTCAGTAACAACAAGCTTTCTAAGTTTATTCGCGTTCATAAGGATCCTTTGCCTCCTTTTTCCAAATCTGGTGTAGTTTATTTTATAAAATGCAATGACTGTCAAGCTTCGTACGTGGGCCAAATAAAGAGACTTCTTAACACACGTATTAATGAACATAAGAGCCGCATCCATCGTAACACGCCGCAACAATCTGTTATCACCGACCACAGAATTGATTTTAAGGGGTAACACCACTGTAAAGGCCCAAAAAATTGCACTTTTTCGACATTTTTTTTTTTAATGGAAGGAAATGAAATAAAGTATTAATACTCCGTAAAGTTAATAAGCATATATTGAAGTACTTGTAAAAANTTTTTCATAAAATAATATTACAAAATGGCGGAATGGCAGCCATATTCCCGATGCTCCTTTAAAATAAAGGGGTCCGCGGCAAGCGGTGTAGCTGTTGGAAATTTGAACCTAGAACAAATAAAAAAATTCCTCATGATCTTCAATGGTATATCTAGTACAATACGTATGGGATTTTAGAAATATTGATTTTTGAGTGATTGGCGAGCATTTGAATAAAGTCGTTCATTTTTCGACAAAAAAAAGTGACATTATTTGGCAATAAAAAATGTTTAGAGCAACGTATCAAAAATTCCATACGTATTGTACTTCGAAATGTTGTTTTGAATGTACAGTAAAAAAATTCAAGTGAAAATATTAAAAATTGTTAGAGTTATACTGCTTGCCGCGTTGAAAAAACGTGTTTCGAGAAAAACGCGTTTAAAGTTTGGAGTTGTATTATGAACACGAAAAAATTGAAAATTCGACTCAAAAAAAATTTTTACCATTAGTCTGCAATCCCAGCACCGTAAAGCTGCCCTTCTAAGTTGGAATATTCGTCCTCCATTTCTTTCCTCGCAGATGTTATGCCAGAGCGCGCTTTTTTTGCCGCATCTGATAATTGCGCCTCTGCGTGCTTGATTCGTTTTGCATCGGATTCGATGCAAAAATTATATGCTTCGACGCCAATTTCCATTTCCAGAAGCTGCATAATACGTAAAATATTAGTTATTCCATCATTAAAGACGCATGTAGCGATATCCGCTGCTATATTTAGGACTGTCTTGCCGCTTGAATACGATTTAGGAGCCAAATTCCACACTGTCGCATTAAAACTTTCGTTACTATTCTGCGTGTAACCGCCCAGGCAACGGTTTAGTAACTCGTCCCGACTCAAATCTTCATAAATAGGTTTTATGGCTTCGTAAACTTCCTCGGAAAGCGGTGACTTGTGACGGAAAGTGTCCAAGGTATCTGCTTCTTGCGCCTTCTTCCAATTGCACCAAGATTTCGAGCACTTCTCGTGTTGCGGATTTTCGTCAGTTGATAACTTATGAAATAAGGTCGCCCAAATTTCATTTTTCATGTCATCTAAGGATGTTGGGTTCCGACGAATGGCCAAACCATAATAAATAGTCAGCTCGTCTATTAATTTGGCACTTAATTTTCCTTTTCCTCCGAGGTTTTTCGATGATTTTTTAAGATTACGAAGTCGCGTTCCCATTCTTTTCTGTACGTGCGAGATGCATTCTTTCTTCTGTACTACTAAATCTTCATACGGTTCAGAGTCGATAATACCTTTAAATGTTTTGCTATCACCATCCCCGATGTAGCTTGACTACTTCTAGAGACATCTAGTAGTGTCTCACATAACTTAGAAATCAATAAGCAAGGTATTATGCACTACTCTCTCGACAGGTTTCCACCCGGAGCAGGTAGCCGTTTCGGAGTCGCCCGACTCGTTCGGTACACAGCTCGGAATTTCGATGAAAAAAATTAGTTTCACGTATAAAAGTTTTTTCCTCGTATTCTACAGGGTTCAAAGGATTTTTTAAGCCCAAAAAAAAAAGCGATTTTTTGAAAATTTTACAGTGGTGTTACCCCTTAACCATGAATTTGACTGGAGCAATGTTTGTATTTTGGATGAGGAGCACTCTTATAATAAGCGTCTTGTCTCCGAGATGCTTTTTATTAAAAAACAAATAGCTGGTCTTAATTTCCAAGTGATACTGAATTACTTGATAATGCATATTTACCGTTAGTTGAAAGATTCAGTAAACTATAAATGGTTGGTTTCTCCTTCCAATTTCGTAAGATATCTCTGATTTCTCTTTATCTTTTCTTTGTTTTTACCTTTTCGACCTAATGTCATTTACGTTACAACTGTGAGTGGAACAACACGTTCCTTTTCTCTTTCTTTTGTCATTATTGTCGTTGACGCACACTTTTGTGAATTTAATGTCTTTTTTGTTTTAATTGTGAGTAATTTGATTTTATTTATTAATTTTTTTTCTTTGTTTTTATTATTCTATTTATCTTACTGCGTTTGATCTTACACAAGATTTATTTTCTGAAGATGCTTCCACCCGGGAATCGAAACGTCAATGTTTTTTGAATATAAGGATTTTACAATAAATATACACACTGTTAACTGTGTCCAGGCTCTCATTGGCCATTTCACTTTTTAAAGTTTTTCTACTATATTCTGTCTTCTTCAAAAAAATTTTGCGCTATAAAAATACTCTAATATAAAAAATTTGAAACATAACTATCACAGTTAAGTGTAAATAATTTGTATTTATCATAGCATCAACACACGTGTTTAAAATCGCCTCTGGGAGAAAAAACAAAGCAACTTTAGAATCACAAAGATGCATCTGACATTGTTTTATTTTAATAGTATTTAGAAAATATTCAGCATATGCGTTAGCACTTCCTAATAATTTTTACACCAGCACACGTGTTTAAAAACGCCTTTGGGAGAAAAAACAAAGCAATTTTACATCACAAGAGACACTTCTGGCATTATAAATTTAAAATATAGCCAGCATACATTACCAAAAATTCTTAATAATTATTAATATTTGAGCATACGTTTTCATAAACGTTTCTGAAAGAAAAAACAAAGCAACTTTACAGTCAAAAAGATGCGATTTATTTTAATATTATATAAAACATAGCCAGCATGCGTTGGCAGTAATAACACAGCCACACAAAAAAAAAAAATTTCTTTGGCCTGGGGATCAGACCATGTTTATTATATGTTTTTGGGGTCGCTGAATCCGAATCCGAGGTCCATTAAACCCTATCGGGTCGGGGTTCCGCCATAACCTCAAAAAACACCATAATCTGAGCTCGAAACCCATATAATCCTTTGATTCAAGCCATAAACACAAAAACCAATTAGATAAACCCCATAACCCCATCTTTTGGTAAACCTAAGTCTT